TAGAGGGATGGGTCTATTCCTCACCTTGGCTTGTTGCTTTTCAGTTTGCTTTGAGTAACTGAGGGACGTAGAGCAATTTTGTGCCAGAGGCAATATTATATGGTGAGGCTTTTTTATGTTCACCAAATAAAATTCTCTCTTTTCAGACTTCAAAGACAAGTGCCTTTCGCAACACAAAAAGGATGCAGATTCATGGATTTTACAGCTTGCTTCTGTTTCTCAGCTTTTTTGTTTCCTTTCACTCTCAGTTCTCTGTCTTTCCCTTTCTCTGTCTGATTTTTCATATTTTACCTCAGGCCTGTCCAGAAAAGCAGGCTTATTTTGTAGCTTGGAAGGAAGATGTACTCATATCCAACCTGGAATCTGAGCAGAGCTTCCCTGTGTAGCCCTAGGAATGTCTATATAGAAATAAATTTTGAACATTAATAGTTGATTGCAATCCCTTTAAGGCCATGCAGAGTTTAAACTTGTGTTCCTTCGTGTAATTTCTTTTAGATGCAAGACTGACATTTTACAGAATTCTGTGGATGGGTATGCTACGGTCAGGTCAAGCTGATTTGACGTAAGTATAAAAAAGCCATATTTTCTATTTGCTTGTTTCCAGTCTTTTCATATAATAAACCTTCAGGGGAATTGTTACCCCAAGAAGGAATGATTCGCTTCTTAAGGGATCCTGGGCTGATACAGGAGGATTGTGTCTTGACACTTGTGTTTTGTTCCGTCCTACTGCAGATTTATGTGAATGGCTTCAGTACTTGGGGAGCGGAAGAAGCTGGGGCAGGCACTGGTGCTTGAAGGTGTCTATTATTATTTAAAATTCTTGAAGCTCTTTAGCTTATACAGAGCCCTATCTGGAAGAAAAAGAGAAGTTGTTCTGTGATAAAACCAGTGAGCTAGGAAAAAGAAGCACTGGTTTCGTTTTGCAGTTTTTTCATTCTTCATGTATGACCATGAGCCAGTCACCCGTTCCCTCTGTTTGTACCTGTCAAAGTTACAAAGACCCACATTTCTACCCCTTTTTGTTCCTTTACCTTTTTTTGGTAATCATTTAAAATTCTCCTCTTCTGATGTCCAACTCTGAGCCATTTTGGCATATTACTCCTCCTCAGAAGTCCCTTCAGTACAGATGAGGTCTGCTTTATTTTATAAAACTTCTCTTTAGAGATAAGTTGTGAACTTGCTTTCGCTGAACTTACAGGATATACCTAAATGGTGGATTTGAACTAAGCATAATGTTTAATTCCCCAACCAAAAAGGCAGTTACAAATGTGTACAAAATTTAGGAGCTTAATTTCCTTTTTCTTTGATTTCTAGGTTTACCTTTAAGTGACCTAATGACATGCCAGCTCAGGGACCCAGATAAGATCAATAACACCACTCTGAATACTTAGTAAAAATTCTGCTTCCTTTCTGAAAGGGAAAAGTAGCAAATGCCTATGAACTAAAATGTTTGCATTTAAATCAACTTAAACTGTGACAACTGAAACTGCCAGCAGATGGCGGCAGTATTGTTCTGATGAACTTCATTTGCAAAAGAAACCTGGAATATTTGAAGGAATTTAGCAAAAGAGCAGCCGCCAGCAAGGAGGCAGTACCTTTATGGATGATAAATGTAGGGTTTGATTTTGAGCTCTGAAAAGTGAAATCCACGGTAATTTCTCCTGCTTCTTGACCATTGAGGGAAAGGGTTTTGACGTGACTCTGTTCCAAATTTATTTTTCTCTCACACTGAAACTGTGCAAAATTTTAATTGAAAGATATTTTTGTGTGTGCACAGCACTTTTCTGAACCCAGGTGTCTTCTACTGCACCACAACAGAGAGTGTCTCAGATCTTTTCTGATAGCAACTCCTCATAGAGGAATTCCTTTCTTGTAGAAAACAGTACTAGGCTGTTTGAGGTTCTTGCCAGAGGCAATATGAGAAAAAAATGTTTGTATTTAATACTTTGAAATGTTTATGTGTAGGTGAATGGTGAATATTGCATGAATTGTATTCAGCACTGAAACCTATTTCTTGGAAATATCAGTTTTCAGCTAAAGCATGGCAATGCTCATCTGCATGTGGTTAATTGCACTTTTTTCATCAATAGTTGCTGTATGTTAATAAGTTATCTTGCACCGGTTTTGTTTGCATTGTGTGTGGCAGGAAGTTAAATCCCACGTGTGTGGGCTGCAGTTGCTGCTATCTCTAACATTCCAAAAATAATTTGGTTTCTTTGGGCATCATCAAGAGGTTAGGATTGTGAGGATGGCCCAGACGGTTTTCTCGATGAGAAATGTATGGGTAACACAGATGGGAACTGGGTTCTAGGAGCACCTGGCTAATTTTTAACTCCTGTCTAGAATAAGAACCTGCTGAGAAAGCAGCACAGTATCTGGCAGCCCTTTTTGGGTGATTGGTCAGACCTTTTTCCTTAACTCGTCATTGGTCTCTGATCTATAGAAACACCCGTATGTGACTTTTTTGGAGCTGGATTAACAGTATGAAGGACTAGCAAATCTGGAGTTAGTAGGGGGAGAATATTATGTGCTTGTATTGGTGACAGATTTGATGGAGTTATTGGCAAAAATTATGTTGGATTCGGCACCTGCAATGAATTGAAGTGCTGCAGTAGATGAAAAACCTTGCTTGAGAAATTATGTTCATAACTGTTAATCATCGGCCACTGTAGGCACTGTGAGAAACATAGCTCTTAATTAAATTCTGGTGTCTGCAGTCATTAGGTGTAGTGACCAATGTTTTGTATTGGAATTTGATACAATCTGAAGAAATACCTTGGCTTGTTAACGGGTTGGCATGTTCTTAACACAGTCTTAAATAGTCCTGATGGCTATGGATAGGAGGATGTATGGCCCCAAGAGACAGCCCCCGGAGCCTTTGCTTGTCCCTTGAAGGCCTGTTGAGGGACAGAAATGAATTGCTCTTTGTGGTGACTTGGAATGAGGGTTTTTACAGTGAAACACTAGGAGTTTTAACTAGAGAAATCTGACTTGAGTCAGGCTAAAGGGTGAGTTCTGGATGAAAGCGATCTGTGAGCCTGACCAGGATGTGAAGCTAATGAAAACTCAGCCCCTGGGAGGGAAGCAGAGGGGACAAAGCTCAATATAAGCAAGGATTGAGAATCGTCTACCATGAAAAATAAAGGGAGGGGCCTCTTTTCTGCATTCCTCTTCATGGTTATTGGGAATGAGGGCTGGGACACATGGGGCAAATAGAAGGCTCTGGAGAAACTCTAGCATCTTAAAGGGGATAGGAATGGGGCGGCATGAAGGGCTTCAACAAATACAAAGATTTCTGGTTTTAGAGTCACAGCTCCAAAGCTTTTCCCCCACAGTTCATTATGGGTTTGTTAACACAAGATCTGAACAGCTTTCAAAGTCTGAAGGAGAAATAATGCACATCCCCAGGCACTGTAAGGTCAAAAGCGCAGACACCTTAGAGGCATAGGTGCTACTATACGTTTACTCAGCTATGCCAGCAGGAAAGGGAGTGGTCTGTGGGCTATGTTTTCTATCATCCCGTTAAGAGCAGATAAAAAAAACACAAAAAAATTTTAACACCTTCAGTGATATATACTGTCGACACCTGTTTAAGTAGTGAGTCAAATGCCTAAGCCTGCGTGCATATATGCAAGAACTGATGCATCCACATAGGTAAGTTCTGTAGTTGTCATTGGTGACTGCCTACATTAATAAAAGTACCTTGAGTTCTTAGTGTTATTTCTTATTCTCTATATGGAGAAAACACTGACCTTTTATGACAATGAAAGTGGGGAAAAGAAATATGTCCGGGTAAGTTGGTAGGCTCCATGTGGAGGAAAAGCACTTTATGAGAGCAAAATTATTAGCAGCGCTCCGCTGTGCTGATTTGGAACAGGTCCATTGTATTTTCAGCAACTGGCAGTTTGGATTGTTACGATTCCTTGGCAAGTACAATAGAAAGATGGTGGTTTCCGGGGACATAATAAAAGGGTGAGCCCCAGCTTTTGCACACTGCATTTTATAATTGCATGCTTGATGTGCACAATTGGGCAGCACTGCCTTACTTGCCTTAATCCATCTCTCTCTCTTGCTCTCTCACTTCCTCACCCTCCCTCATAGCAGCAGTAGCTGCTGCAGCTTTGGCAGATTGTCGGGGAGAGCACAGAAAATGAAAAGAGCTCAGCTATCATCTTAACATTTTTCCCAAAGGATTAATTTCACCTGCTTCTCCAGGTTTCCTGATAGACTTTTTTGCGCTTTTAAATCCAATAAGTGTGGACTTATTTCCCGTTTTAAATCCCTTGAAATAGTTTTAGGAATGGACTTTCTCTCTCCTCCTCCCCCAGCCTTTTTTTTTTTTTTTGACAAGTCAGAAAATTGTGAAGTAAGCGGACAGAGTAACTGAGAGCGAGAGAGGGAGAAGACGCTTCCATTCTTCTCGTGCAGTGGGCTGAGGCAAAAAGGCCATTGTAATGGTAAATCGCATGCAGAAAGGAAGAAAAGACTGATAATCAATCACAAATGAAGCATTCGTTTGGATTTTGGCAATTTGCTGGCCAGGGGCTTTTAAATCTATAAACTTTTTTTTTTTCTTTTTTTGCCCACATCTTTAAAACACAAGTTGGATATACCGAACACAGGAAGATAAATCTTTACAAAGCTATCCTGCCCAAAATACCTGGGAATGGGGAAAGCACAGTGCTGAAACGCCAGTAAAACCTCGCAACTCCGAAGGAGAAACAGCGTACTGAAATGTTGGTGGGGAACATTTTAAACCCATCACCTCAGCCGCCAGCTCTGAAGAAAAAATTTCTATCTCAGACTCTTCTCGTTTCACGTGTTCAGGGATGACTTGTGGTGGACTTCTGGGGAGTTTAATTTGCAACTTGGTTATTCTGTGATTGCCTGAGTGGGTTTCGTATTTGACTGAGTATGTGATAGGACAGATGAGGATGTTAGACAATATTAACACCAGCATCTCATCTTCAGAGTCCAGCATTACCCATAGAGGAAGATATATCTACCTGGAGGCACTGCTTCAAGGAGGCGCTCCATGGGGATTCACGCTGAAAGGCGGACTGGAGCACGGGGAGCCATTAATCATCTCAAAGGTATTTTTCTTATTTTAAATGAAATGCAAACAAGTCAGGAGTGGTGCCTGATTTAAAGGGCAAGAGTTGTAAAATAACACTGAAATGTTATATTTCACACTGTATTTAGCTTGGTTTTGAAAAATGTTGAGCACCTATTCAAGTCGGTAGGTTTGCTCAGGAGCTATGTATTTGAACAACACATGAGAGCTCTTGGCATTGTTTAACTATCAAAGTGCAGTTTTTGTCCCACAGGAAGTATCTTGGCTTGCAGAAATTGGCTCTATTTATTTCACTGCAATCGATAGGAGTGAGTAGGGGACTCTCATAAGGTGATCTTGTGTCAAGAATTCGTGGCATATCTGAGCACGTTCAGTAATCCATCACCACCTCTTCTGAAGAGAAAAGAAACTAAGTGCTTTAAGTCACATGATGAGGTGTTGGCTAATTAGAAGTGTGTGTGTAGAAACAGAATAATAAATACTTGTACCTATTTGGTATGTATATATATTATGCTATGTTAGCAGTTTTCTCACCCTGGGTACTGTCTACTTACTAAATATCTATGAAGTATGGTATGCCTTCAAGATGTTTATTATTTTAATTATTCAGGACTGATTATTGTCAACAGGCAAATAGTAGCATAGATCACAAGGGGGAAAAAAATGGGAGAAAGAGTTCCTCATTGTCATCAGAACTAGGGTATTAAAAGTACCCAGGTACCTCAAGATGCAGATACTGAAGACAATGGATTTTCAAAACCATCAGATTTAATCTTAAAACCATCAGATTTAATTTTAAAATATGTTTGCTCTACAGCCTATATGTTTTTCTCTAAAACTGTTTTGAAAATAGGATTTAGCTAATTCTGAAATTTTATCTCTTAACTGTATTTCTCTTCAATGTCATCTGTCTGGTGCATTCTGGTTGTTTATAGTATGCATTTATATAACAAGCTGCTAGGTGCATATATGTACTCATGTAACTTACTCCCTCATGTAAACTGGGATGTATGTAGGGAATTCAAAGGATCAGAACTAATGTCAGCTAAAAGAAAATGCTGATGCTCAAAATCAATGTTATTCAAATTCTGCAACTCACTGTGCAAACACATTCACATGAAGACTGTCAGTCACTTGAATAGTTCACCTGAAAGAAATTATAATTAGTGCATCTACAGGTTGAAAGTAAAAAAGGGGGACTTACGTAAAGGTTCTTTCGTCACAAAGGGCTTTTAGAAATTTTGATACAGAATCATCTTTCTTGCAGAACCTCTTGGTGATAGTTTAGCATAGCCACATAAAGCAAAAGTAGCCTCACTGAAATGGTGTTATATTTTTTCATTTTAGAGACAGGAGGGACTAAAATGCCAGTCAGGTTGTTCACTTTTATTGGCAGTGTTCTACGTTTGTGAGGAAAAAGTTTCTTTTTGCTTTGACATTCTTCTCTGATGTAAAAAGCACCACCTTTTTTTTTTTTTTTTTTTTTTTAATTGGGGGCAGGGAGGCAGAGAGGAAGAGAGATGGCTCTGGCTGCTGAACATTAATTAATCTATGGGATTTGGTTTCCACAACAACCAGGCTCCTTAATGTCAAACATGCCTGGAGTGTGCATAGTGCCACTGGGAGCTGTATGACTTGTGCCTGCCTTCTGTGAAACAACACTGCAAAAATGCGGTGGGTTTTTTTTGGTGGTTTTTTTATAGTTTGTGGTTTTTTTAAAAAAAAAACAAAAACCAAACTTGTAGCTACTGCTTGGTTTGTGCTATCAATGTTAGCATTTCGTTGTTTTGCTCATGCATTGGTGATGCAGGGCTGGAGAATGGCTGGCATGTGAAAGCTGTGCTTTCTGGAATTCATGCAGCACCCATAGCTGTTCCCTGGTTTCCAGTTGCAGCTGAGAAATTCCTCTTGTGTTTGAATTCCCTATGTGCTCTTCAGAATTAATTCCATATTAGTGATTTAGCTAATTCAGTATTTTTCTTCTCTAAAGGAATGTAATGCTTTTTCTGTAACTACTGTCAAGTAACGAGGAACTGTGGAGAAATGATAAATTGAATCATGTTACAGGTTAAATTCTGTACTTGCACAAGAGTACTTACAGAATCATAGCATGGTTTGGGTTGGAAGGGACCATTAAAGATTGTGCTACTCATGTAGGTAGGCACTAGGAATGATCCAATAATAGCTCTAGATAATATTACCTATAAATATCAGAAAATGTGGGTGTCAGGTTTTAATTTCTGATTATTCATAATTAATTTATTTCTGTTTCAGCTCCCTATTCTGTTTTGGCAAAGATATCATATTTATGTCCACTTAACTGTCTGTTTGCATTGACAGAGTGGTGTTAAATGGCCTTAGTGTAAATAAAAATGTAGATTTCAGCAAACAATTAAGCTGGTACCCATGAAAGCTTGCAACGTGACTTAAAACAGTCCAAGTAACATTGATGTATTGTTGCAGAATACTAGACAGATAGCCAGTCTGTTTGAATGCGATAGTTCTTTCTAACTGTCAGGATCTGATGCTCATTTGGGAACCATGAGTATTGGCCTGTCTCAGCTTCAGACCAAAGGCTGTGATAGAAGTTGAAAAGCAAGATGACTGAATTTACAAAAGGCCCAGATGCATGAAAACTGGTTCTCGCAGCCCTGCTCAGGAAGGACAGATTTTCCCACCAAAAATATTCCAAGAAATCACCCGAAAGCAATGGGAGCAACAGCTGGGAATGTAAGTTGCAAAAAGCAGACCTATATTCTCAGCTGGTAGAAAGTGCTGTTTTAGAGATCTGATTACTGTAGGTTTTGTGTCGCCTTCAAAATAAGAACAAGTTATCTGTCGCCTTTCAGTAAAAGTCCCTTTGCTGCACAGGTGTGTCGCTGTGCTTCTGTGCAACAAGACGGGCTGATTTCTCAGCGTGTGTAGTTGAGCGCACTGTTAAACACACTAGTAAATGCTTTGCTGAATCAGCCATGATGCTCAGCACATCATGCAACCAAGTCTAAATCAACTTGTCAGAACTGTTGGTTGTGCAGCTAACATGAATTTTGGTAGTTAAAACAGATGACCTTTTTATGCTAACGCTGTTCTTTCTTCCCTGTGGAAAGACAAACCTGCACTGAAGCAGTTTCATGACAGCTAATTCGAAGTCCTCAACACAGGTCTCTTCATAATGTGTTTTGCCGGAGGTGAGGGCAGACCATAAACAAATTTATTCCAACTGACCCACGTTTTCCCCTCTCCACAAAGGAAGCTGCTTTGTCATTTCCTCTAGTCAGCTTTTTTCTATCTCGTTTCTGGACTGACTGTGTACAACTCACCACATATGTTATGATTCTGGCTGCATAGCACATTTAAAAGAACATACTGAATTTCAGTGAAAAGAAATTTGGAAATGCTAACAGTACGTCAGCAAAATGGAAGCTCGGGGTGTTGACTGTTCTAGAGCAGCACTTAGCCATCTTGGGAACATAAGGCAGTTTTGGAGCTGCCCGTTGGGCTACAGCGCTTTAGGATTGTGCGTGCTATTCCTGCTCTGCCACCTAAGCACAAGCTTGTGAGGGAGCCCCAGAAATAAGCTTTGTGGAATCTTCCCCAAATTAATTTTTGTTGTACCAGAAGGAAAGGAATGGAGAATGGGCAAAAAGTAGTCAGTGCACGTTCCTTTTCCTCTGTACCTCAAGAGAATGTCCAAAAATCAGTACCTAAATTGGCACCAGGATGTCACTGCTTAGCAGTGGGACAGTGTCCAAAAAGACAAATCATAGGCTGCAAATTTACAAAATGTATTTTCCCTTTTGCATTGATTCTGTGGTATAAAACATGTTGTCAAAGAGGAGCGCAGGTGAGAGTTTGAAAGGCAGCTGTAGTCTTAACATTTTTCCTGGGAAAGAATTTCTCATTTATATGAGCTTAGAGAATAGCTGTCAGTCAAATTCTTTACTTAGAACTGTTCACAGTTTCTCCCTGTGTTTTCAACTCAATAAATATCTTCCAGAGGTGAAGAGGAAAAAGATGTTGGTGACAGGAGTAATGTGTCTCTCTAGAATGAGCACGTTATGCTAATTTTTCCCCAGCTGATAGAACTTTGCAAGTTTCAAAGAATCCAGCCTACATCTCCAGGATTGTGCTACTCATGGTTATAAAATACTCCTTTGGCAAGAAGGTTCTCAAGTTTTCGATTACTTTCCTTTTTTTAAACATCAGTTTTCTTCTTCTCTCCATTAGTGTTTACGAGGTAACTTGGTATCATAAATGTGTCACTAATACTTCATAAGCAGTACTAGTCAAATCCGCTGTAGTGACCTCCACTTCTCTGCTTTCGGATCTTGGTTCACATAGCTCAACTTCTATTTTTTAATTTAACTGTTTAGTAATTTAGAACCATGTAATTTTGGTCTATATTTGGGGAGATTTGCTCACAGAGGAAATCTCATTAGACAAGTGGTTTCTTTAACTGGAACTAGGAATTTAATGAGAAATGCAACAGTGATTGCAGGTGATACTGAATGTTTAATTGGAACCTGGTTTCCTTTGGCCTTAAAACCACAATAATACCCAGAAGAAAACCCAGATTTTCATTTGCATATTACTTTCTTGGCTCATCCTGAGCTGTAAGATTGATATTGCAGAAAAGAAAGCCCTGACTATTCTAGACAGTAAAGGCAAACTGGTAGCAGAAGTGTTCGTTCCCTCTTGATTTCCTTTAAGAATTTTTAATTTACAGTAATTAACATTATTCAGTTTCAACCATTTTGGAAACAGGCAAGCTATTTCTGCAATCTGATTCTTATTGCTACACACAAACCTTTGGAATAGTTTTAGCTGTTGTAGGCCTATGAAATGCCCTTTTATTTGGAGCTCCATGTTGATGAAGCTAACAAAAGAGTTGTTTCTCCTGCCTAGGAATTAAAGCATCTAAAGCGTTCTTTCTCAGATAGCGGCTATGTGGGAACACTTTTCACATGCTGTGCCGTAGTTCATCGGTTCCCTTAACTCAAAAGGGTAGGTCATTTATAG